TTCAAGCAAAGCAGAAGGCCCAGGACGGTCTAGACTGAACCACCGCATCCTTCAAGGCCATCTCCAGCCACAGACCTACTGCTGCCAAGGACCCAGCTACGGCATCCCAAGAGCAGCCCTGAAGTCCCACAGAGAGGTGGGAAGGACACGCTGTGCCCAGCTAAGCAAACACACGCCCTGCTAACGGGCTGAGAAGGGGGACTCCCTCCTATTGCACCAGCTTCCCGGGAAAGGAAGAGAGCTCCTTGCTTCTCCTCTGACTCATCCTTGTCCTTCTTTGTGAAGGTGCAAAGCCTCACCTTCTCTAGAAGAAATGACCCACCTAAGGCTTAATTTGCAGTTAAGAGCAGTGTGAAATCAGCACAGTGCACAAAGCAGCTTCCAAACCCAGGAGCGGCACAATTCCAGCTCCAGAAACAACGTTTTGTTGTTGCTAATGTTGCTCATCTCCACTGCGATACTAAAATCTTTGTTATCCGCACATCCTGGAGTCTCACATGTCCGGCAGATGTAACTGCCTGAGGAATCCTGATAGAAATTCCTCAATTGAGTTTGCTGGGAGGGATCAGTAGGGATTTTACTACATATACATATCTGCAGTGACCAAAACTTCCACTATAGCTTTCAAGTAAGCTGTTGATAATATTAACCATAAATATTTCATCAGAGATATGAATGGGATGCTCTGTTAAGTCAAGGAGTAAAAGTTATTTCGGAACAACACGCAGGGGAAGCCTCCTCCAGCACAACGCCTTTCAGATGACCAGAGTCAGGACTTCTGACATGATGATTTAGCAACCCAAAACAAGAATGGTCATAAGACCACTGCGGATGAGGAGCAAGAGGATAAAATGAAGAACAAAAATCCATCTCTGCGAGTCAGTGCGTCAGCAGTTTCAAGTTCCAATTTTCAAGTATTCACAACTCGGCTGCCTGAGCTCTCCTCCAAAGCGGCATTCCGAACAGCCCTGATGGGCCCGGGATGGAGGAGCAACAACGAATATTTAGAGGAAGGGGAGGGAAAAAAAAGACGTCAAAAAGAACAAGTGTGGGATATCTGCAACCTCATGAACCATTTCACGGATGGAAAGAGAGGAGAATCAGGCTTGGGTGCATATTAAAACCATGGGCTTGCTGCAAAGGGAAGGCCGTTACTCGAGTTGTTTTCGCTCGGTAACTTATTTCGGCCCGTGCCTGCGCCCCCCACGCCGCAGAGCCCGGCTCCCTCCCAGCTCATCACAGAAAACAACATTTCAAGGGGGGGAAAAAAATGTCTCTATGAAGGCTGAGGGCGCGCGGCCTTGTCCT